ACTGATAGCTTCAATACTGATAGATTTATTACAGGTAGATTCATTCTGATAGATTCATTGATGATTCAGTACAGATATTTCATCGCAGATAGAATCATCACTGATATATTCATTTGTGATGTATTCCTTATTGATAGATTCATCATAATTATTGAGAGATAAATACATGATAGAATCATCACTGATAGATTTATCTCAGATAGATCGATCACTGATAGATTCATCAATGACAGATTTATCACTGATAGATTCATCACTGATACATTCATAACTGATATATTTATCACTGATAGATTCATCGCAGATAGATTCATTACTGATAGATTCATTATAGATTCATCAGTAATAGATTCATCAGTTATAGATAAACTTCTGATAGATTCATCACTGATAGATTCATTAGTGATAGATTCATTACAGATAGATTCATCCCTGATTCATTCATCACTGATAGATTCACCACTGATATATTCATTTCTTATAAGAACCTTCATGACTAAATCATCCGAGTCCATGGAACGATGATTATTTCAAACTTACAGAGAAGAAAACTCTTTGATGTAGGATTGTAATTGTTAATCATTGATTATCGAACTCGGTTGTTAGTTCCAGACGACTTGTTGATGGATGTTTAATTATTGGAATTGAATACGGATGAATTGTTTCTTTTTTGTTGTTGTTGTTGTTGTCAAATGATATGTGTTATGTAACAGGATCCAAAAGGATCCAAAAGGATCCAAAACAAGATATTTTGATAAGACTTAAGAAATTATTTTGGTTGAACGCTAATATCGAATAATTATGCAATTATATATTATATATATATATATATATATATATATATATATATATATATATATATATATTTTTTTTTTTTTTTTTTTATTTTTATTTAATTTTGAAAAGATAAATACGGGAAACATTGATTTATTTTCTTTCATTTTTGAATTGAACAAAATTAAAATAAGAAACAGAGATTGAAACGGGAAAACCCACTTGACATTGCCTTCGCCTCGTTTATTTTAGTTTTATTTTCATTGTTGCCGTATCTGTTCACTTACGAGCGCTTTTCGGGGAAACATTTATGGTTTGGTCTCCTTTCAGGGCATTCCCCAAAACACATTTTTAAAAAACAAATAAATAATTCCTAAAGGCTGTTAAAATTACTCTTTTAAAGAAATGTCAATATTAGCTGCTATGATTTTAAACTTTAGTTCCAGACGTTATGTATGAAAACAGATTGCACATGTCTGATGCCTGGGGAGGGCAAGTCTGTCCATTGCTTATCAGGGGGGGGGGGGGGTCCCTGATCCTGGTTTTGACTTTAACGGTTACGAATACGTCGGACCGGGGTCTTGGACGCTGTTCTTCGTGAGCGGTCGTGCAAGAGCGTCCTGCTCAGTCACGCTTCAGCAGATATTAATGTCGGTGCCAGCAGCGAGCCGACTCAATCGGGGGATTTGGGTCGTGGTGCTGTGGTCTGATGAATTGGCCGCTATCGGCAGTCGCCTCTGCCGGTGGCGGTGTCGGCTCACCGGACCCGGAGTGGGTCTCTACTCATGTGGAGTTGGACGACCCCCACCAGACGAGCCCGCCCGGCGGCCCCTGCGGGATTCCACGCCTCCGTGGGTTGCAGTTAACGGGACGGCCGGTGACCGGGGTCGTTCCCCCCCGGACAACGGTTATGTGTTTCAATAAGGCCTGGTCCGGTGTGGCAAGACCGAATAAACACAGGCGGACAGAATGGGGTCAAGGGCGGGAGGCGCTCCCCTCGCCCTTTAAAGCTTCAACTATGGATATGATGAATTCTTCCGGTGCCATGTTTAAGAAGTGACAAGGTGGTTCAGGCACCGAGGAGAGCGACGAAGTCACCAGAGCCGGGCACGATACGGCTTGCCGTTGTTACGGCTTGCCGTACCCGGTTGGGGGGGGGGGGGGGGGGGGGGGGACACGCGGGCGTCCCGGGGGTCGTTGCCTCCTGTTCCTGGCCGGTGGGGTGGGCCCCGGGTCGTGTCTCGGTGTTCTGTGCCCCGTTGCGCTGGCCTGTTCCTGCGCTCAGGACACTGGTGCCGGTCGCTAACGGAGAGAGTCGAAGTCCCACGGAAGGTGGAAGGCTGGTTTTGTGGCGCATGCCCCGCTGTTTCCGACAGTTTTGACTGCGGCAGCTTCTAACTTGGATATACGTTTGACCGGAGTGTTGGCTGCGCCGCGGCGGCGGGAAGATCTTGCTCGAAATAGTCTTCTGCCCAGCCTGGTCGGTTTCATAACCGGGCCAATTTGTACAAGTGGCTCCCGGATACGTGGGGAGTTTCACGAGCCAGGCCAATCCGCGTCCATTGCTTATCAACGGGGGGGTCCCTGATCCTGGTTTTGACTTTAACGGTTACGAATATGTCGGATCGGGGTCTTGGACGCTGTTCTTCGTGAGCGGCCGTGCAAGAGCGTCCTGCTCAGTCACGCTTCAGCAGATATTAATGTCGATGCCTGGGGAAAACTGTATTAAAATTAATGACCTTGATATTGTTGTAAAATCAGTTTGATACAGAGTTAAGAGAATCTTTAAACTTGTAAAGTTGAAAAAAAAAAAATTAAATAAAAATACCGATGTATGTGAGCATCAGGAAATAGGAGGTTGGCTCATAATTTGGCGAGGCTAATTTTCAAAACAATGCGATATTTATGTAAGCTTCTAACAAGATTTGCTTAAAATATTCGGGTCACAAATATTTAGATATATAAAAGATTTGACATCCCCTCCCTCAAAGACAGACGAGAAAAGCTCCGTCTAACATTCCTCTATAAAGTGGTCACGGGGCTAGTGCCGACCATTCCAGCTCATACGTACATCACCACACAGAAGCCAATTCGCTTAATCAGAGCCAAACGCTCAACAAACACTGACTTCACCTCTGACATCTCCATCCGGAGTTGCATCCTGAACAATGGCAAATGCTTCACTGCAGCTCTGTGTAACACAGTTCAATATAAACAATCATTCTTCCCACGAGCGATAATAGCTTGGAACCAACTGGACAATGCCGCTGTGGACTCCACATCAATCGAGAGTTTCAAGGCTGCCCTGACACCCGCTGGGAGCGCTTAGGATAGACGCATCATTTCCCAAACTGTTACACATATACCAGGACGTGGATGCCAGCAACGTAGTCTATCAGAAGCAGAATCAAATATTTTACAGGTTTCACTATTTGTAATCGGTAAATGGCTCAAGTTACTATTCTTTTTTTTTTTTTTAAAGTTGTTTAAGAAACGACAATATAGTCTTTGTTTTTTTTGTTTTTTTTAAATGTGTTTTCTTTTTATTGTTTTACACCTATTGCTTGGTGTTTTTTTTTTTTTTTTTGGTTTTTTTTTTTTTTTTTTGTTTTTTTTTTTTTTTTTTTTTTTTTTTTTTTTTTGTGGGGTGGGTGTGGTTTTACTGCCAACTCCCCACATAGACATAAATAACTCTAAGACAGGCTATCCTAACTATATGAGAGGCATTCCTAACTATATGACAGGCATTCCTAACTATATGACAGGCATTCCCAACTATATGAACTGCATTCCTAATTCTATGACTATACGGGGACATTTTCTATAAACAATTTCTTAACTTATATAATATATTAATTCATTAGGAATGTTACGCACTGCGTTCTATAGTGAGAAATTAATCTCTTATTTTTAATTATTGGCTCGTTCTAAACAGTGCCTAACAAAAGATGATACCATAGAGAAATAAAATAGCAAAACTACGCCACTCTAAACAGTACTAATTACAATTAATAAGATTTATTTAAGTATTAATATAATTACAAAACAAAAGAAATATAATTACAATCATCAACTTACAGAGTAAGATATGTTGTACCGGTACACAGATAGTACAATGTGCCAATTAATAAAGTACATTGATGAATGCGAATAAACACATATGAGTACACACAATTATACACTTGTCTCGTAAAGTGAAAAATATCTATCAATCAATCTATCTCTCTTAATGTTCTCTGAACCCCCTTATATATGCAGAGTAAGACGCATTCCAGAAAAGACTTAGACATTGTTTACTTTTCTAGTCCAATCGCGAACGTTCCACAAAGCACTATGAGAACAAACTAACAATTTTTAATTGGTGGCGGCAGTAAACACGCCAAGATGAAAAGAAATAGGCAACGCCCGGTACGAACGCAGTCTGATTTGGGGTCAGACAGAGTTCACGGCACGGGGAAAGTGTGATGTAAACACGTCTTACATAACAAGGAATCTTGAAAGAATCACACTGGCTCAAATGCAGACAACACAGCATACCTCTTCACATCTGCTTGCCAAACCCTCACTAGAGTAATGTGGCAGTGCCACAACCACAAAACCCATTTTCTTGTCGTTCTACCAACAGCCCCCCATTAAAGCAATACTTTTTTTTTGTTTGTAACAAAACGTTACCGTAAACCAGTGGTCGGCAAACTCATTGGTCAAAAGAGCCACACACACACACACAAAAAAAAAACAGCAGCAGGACAATTACACGTTTTTTGATAGCAAAATTTCTTGTCAAGAACCTGTCAAAAAACCAAGTTTTTCGGAGTCAAAGCCCGATTTGTAGCCGAATGGGCGAGCCCGCCCTCAGGTCTTTAAAGAGCCGCATAGGCACGCGAGCCGGGATGTGCCGAACACTGCCGTAAACTGTTAAAGATAATCGTTTAGAAATCAAAGACAATCCCCCCCCCAAAAAAAAAGTCTGTTCTTAGGTAAAGATTTACATAAGATGATCAATATATTTAAAAAAAAAAAAGTAAATTACGTCTTCTTTATATCAGTTGCTGCATTCAAAACTGGGGGCACCCACTTCTCAATTTTAAAATTTTAGATCCGCCCCTTGAATGGTTGAATTAAAAAATGCAATGTATTCGACATCATGAACAGGAAACATCATTCCACACTTGTCATCCATGTCTAATACGTTACATAGTATCACCATGACCTACTTGAAATAACGTAGTCACTGTGACATGATGTGAAAACCATATTAATATATTATATCATTGCTGCAAGTTCAACACGCCAAGACTCGGTCAAAACAAATCCGCGAATTTCAAGTTTGGTTTGGAAAGCGGAAGAGACACGTCGTAGGAAATATCTTAAGGAGATAGCGATACAGAAAATTCAGCAAATAAAATAATGGATGGTAAGGACCATCCTGTTGTCAGCCTAGACATAGAAGAAGAAAGGCTGATGAACTCAGCTGCAGAAGGCATCGCTAATGTGGAGAGTTTTAACGAAGGCAACGGTTGTGTTAGGAACGACGCTACAAACAACAACATAATTTCAGTCGGTGAGCAAGGTAACTCATTCTTGGAACTCCGGTTAGATTCAGGTGAGTCGAAACCGCCGAATAGAGATCAGATTAATCCTAATCATTTCTCAGACTTGGAAAATGGAACTGCAAGTTTAAAAAATGTGGACGGTGTCCCCACATCAACGGCTGACCACGCCGCTGGGTGGACACATGAAAACGTAAGTCCAGTCTGTTTTGAAAATTCTGAAAATAAAAGTAGCCTTTTGGAGGTACACACAACGGATTCGGGTAGAAAGCAACACGTGACCCCGAACCTTGACCACCACGGACGTGTCACGAGACGATGTAAAGCAGTGAGCTCCTGCCAGTCTCTGGCATCACGTGTGTGCTCCTGGAGGTCCATGATGCTTTTAATGCTTCACTTGTCGTTCGTGATCAACACCATCCCCAAGAACACGACCCCTATAGCCATAGTGTGTATGGTCAGACCCCGATCAGGTGAGACGCTGGGGGTTGGGTCGACGAACGCCACGACGATTGGAGTAACTGAGGGTGTGCTTGGCTCACAGATGGAAGGGGCGCTCAGTGCGGCGGTTCAGAGGAATACGACAGGCGAGAAGGTGAGTTGAACAAATCTATACAAGGGTAATATGGGAAAGTGTGGATGTGTAGCACTGATTACCTCATGCCACGAGTTCGGCTGTCGTGTGTCCAATGCTGGCTACGATGCGTCACAGTTTCGCTTAAATATTAACTGAACAAAAATTTAAAAAACTGTCAACACGCTGTCTGTGGTCGTCTATTCAAACAGTGATTCATATTTGTACAATGCTTCTGGTTATCTATTAACACAGTGATTTACAGTGCCTGTGCTCGTCTATTCAGACGGTGAGTTACTATGTCTGTAGAATGTCTTTGACCTTCTATTCACACAGTGGTTTACCATGTCTGTGCAGTGTCTTTGGTACTCTACTCAGGCAATGACTTAACATGGCTGTGCCATGTCTTTGTTCTTCTATTTATACAGTGAGTTAGCATATCTGTACAACGTCACATCTTTTGAGAGGCACTGGTCATCGTTTGAGACAGTTAATTGCCATATCTGTTTTTCCTCTCTTGAAGTACAATCTACTTTTCATTGAAATTTCAATATGTTCTGAAGTGCCTATAGCTTTATATATTTTATATCCAAGTGATATATTATTGACATCTTGACTACTTCTATGCTATTGTCGTTTTTAGCAAGTTTAAACGTACCACTTATTGTTAGCATTTTCTTCCCTTTTGATTTTTTTTTTGAGGCGTGGTGTTTGGAAGTATTCATTCATTATTAAAACTTTTAATTTTTTTTTAAATTCTTGGAATTTTAATTTTGTGTAATAATTTTTTTTTTTTAAATATTTTTTGTACTGTCCGCCCCTGGCCCCTATCAGGGTGATGACTTCGAGTTTGACTGGGACTCCAAAACCGTGGGACTTGTCTTGTCAGCCTTCTCATTCACGTCGTGGGTGGGGCCGTTTTTCGGTAACATGGTACGCGGTTACCTTGGCAACAAGTGGACTATGACTCTGCTAACTCTTGGCTCAGCATTGACAACCTTGTTGTCTCCCCCTGCTGCACGCACTGGACCAAATGTTCTGGTCGGACTCAGGGTCATCTCAGGACTCGCATTTGTGAGTAGTTTCGTCATCTGAGGACTCGCACTAGTGAGTAGTTTATAATCATCTCAGGACTCACACTGGTGAGTAGTTTATGGTCATCTGAGAACTCGCACTGGTGAGTAGTTTATGGTCATCTGAGGACTCGTACTAGTGAGTAGTTTATGTTCATCTGAGAACTCGCACTGGTGAGTAGTTTATGGTCATCTGAGGACTCGTACTAGTGAGTAGTTTATGGTCATCTGAGAACTCGTACTGGTGAGTAGTTTATGGTCATCTGAGGACTCGTACTAGTGAGTAGTTTATGGTCATCTGAGAACTCGTACTGGTGAGTAGTTTATGGTCATCTGAGGACTCGTACTAGTGAGTAGTTTATGGGCATCTGAGAACTCGCACTGGTGAGTAGTTTATGGTCATCTGAGGCCCAGCACTGGTGAGTAGATTCACTGAATTAAAATAAGTTGTTCCCCAGTCTTGGAACTCTCTATACCAATTTTCGGTATCGAATTTGGCAGGTACGAGAAAGTATTGGCTTGGTGTGGTTTTCATAGGCTGCGACTAGTTGCTGTTTCGGTCGCATATATTTTAATCAGAGCTCTTTCGAGTGTCATAACTCTAATAGTATTAACCTATTCTTGAAATGAAACTACGAGTCAAGCCTACTACGGTGCTTAAGAACTCTCCCTTCATAAAGGGTGTGGAGGTTTAAAAAGAAAACAAAAAATAACATCGAGCTATTTCCCTTTCATTTTCCACTCCAATGACCACCCTTGAAAGCAGGGAGATATTGCTATATTTTTGTTAGCGTTGCGTTTTTATAACATTACTTTCCCCCAGGGAGGAAACTTGCCTATCGTTTCTGACACCGTTGTCTGGTGGACTCCAGAATCTGAAAGGCTGACCGCTGCTACTGTGACATTTTCTGGTATGTTGAGCCTTAAGTTCATGGCGTTAAACACGGTTTCAAAACGGGAATCGCTTTGCATGTCCTACTACAATAGCAAAACATTAGAACACATAAAGCTCAATTGTAGTATACAAGATTCTTCCAGTTTAATGTACAGCAAAATATAAAATTGATCAGCATCATTTAGAATAAATTATTCAAAAGTCTATTTCTTCTCCTAGAAGTTATTCTCAAATGATATTTCCAATGAATTAAAATATACTGTCATGTGATTAGACGATGCTGGATGGGGAAAACCGTACAATCCAAGAGATGTATCCATTGTATAAAGACCCACCCGTAGTTGCAGCCATGAAAAAAAGAAAGGTAGCGCTGCAAAATGATCTACAGCCAGAAAACTAGATGGGTGACAAGTCCAATGATCGATCTAATTGGAAGTTTGTGGGGGAGCATGCCGGGGCCATTGATGAGCTGTCGCGCCACTGACGATGATGTTTAAATGGAAGGATGGGGTGGAGCAGGCCATGACCCTTTATGGCCTCTCACGCTACTGATGGCAAATAAATTAAAATGAATAAACTTTTTTAAAAATTTTTTTACGAAATAAATTTGAAAATAAAATAACGAGGCACTTGCTTGTAAATTTCAAATGTATTTCACCAGGATTTAACATGGCTGGAATCGTCACCTTCTTCATCGCTGGCTTTTTGTGTTCTGTTCCCATAGACAACGGTTGGCCGTTCATCTTCTACATCTTTGGTAAAACTGTCTTTCGTAAAGCTTACTTTGTGTCGTGATGCAGTTATGTTTTTGTCGTAAGTTAATTGGTGTGTTGATTATTGATCTTGTTCCAATTTTTTTTCTCTTTCAAATGGCTTGAAGTCATTCCCCTAATATAATTCTTGTTTGGCATAATTTGAAGAAGATTCAACCGCCTGAACTCATAAAGCTGTTTGTTAGAATCATCTTAAACTATCTTTACACCAGGGGCCATAACTCTACTGTGGACTCTAGCATGGCACATAATGACTACTCAAAAGCCTGAAGACCATCCGTGGATTTCAGACGAGGAGAAGTCATTTATCATCGCCACACGCAGTCATGGCATTGGGGCGAAAAATGTGGGTGAAAATATATGTATGTAAATCTCTGTGTAAGATACAAATTGTTCACCCCTGTTCGCAACAAAATCATTGAATAAATAGAATGCATCTTTTCAGATAAAATATTGGCCGCTAAATGAAGATTATGTTAAATTGATTACTGAAAATAGATAATCATCTTTATCCATCAGAGTCGTCATGAGACTTTTTCTAGGCTCCTTTTTCTGTCGTATTTCGATTACGTGCCCAAAGCATTCAAATTTAACAGTTTTATTTTTTTCCCCCCTATATTACATTATTGCGCCTTTTCAAAATCCGTGCGCAAAATTGCAGCCTAGGGGGTTGCAAGGCCCACACGATGGCTCCGCAACCAATGTATTCAGTTAAAGACTTTAAAAAGAACTTCACAATTAATTATAATCATATAATCTTTTGGCCTTTTAACTTCTTAGTAATAATCTTACAATCTTTTGACCTTCTAACTTCTTAATTAGTAATAATCTTGCAATCTTTTGACCTTTTAACTTCAGATCGATTTCGTAATTTTGAATTAAAAAAATTATTACCAATCTTCAATCGATGTTCCAACGCCCCCCCCCCCCCGCCCCTATTCGAAATTTTCTGTTACCAGACTCCACCGTATTTCTATGACAGCCATTGAAATGTGACGTATCAAACAGTGACAGCCATTGAAATGTGACGAATGAAACAGTGACAGTCATTGAAATGTGACGTATCAAACAGTGGCGCCCCTATTCGAAATTTTCTGTTACCAGACTCCACCGTATTTCTATATCTGTTTGATACTCTCAGACAGGAAGAGGAGACAAGCCACCGTACCGAACCATTATGACGTCAGTTCCGATTCTTGTGTACATGGTCGTCTCGAGCGTGCACATGTGGAGTGTGACGATCGTCTACACGTACACGCCCGTGTACTTCTCAAGGCCGCTGGGCTTTACGTACGAGGAGGTAATCCAACTCGTCTTTGAGGTAGATGCAGAGGGCGTAGCTAATTGAGGGCAGGGAGGGCAGATGTCCATTGGCGCCAGACAAGTTGGGGGCCTCAAAACGTAATTTGATACTATTCTATTGACGAGCGTTGACAAAAGACAGTAAGGCACTTTAAAATGAATCTTGTCCCCCGGGGCGCCAAACACTCTAGCTACGCCTCTGGGTAAAATGATATCCCTTTTATAATGTATTACTATTACGTCTGCGATGTTACGCCCAAGAAAATATTCATGGAATCTTAACATATGAAATACCGTCTTAATTTCACGTTCTCATTGGCTTGCTGTCATACTTTATATGGAGGGTTCACATACAAACAGTTTTTTAATTATTTTTTTTTAAAGAATCCTATCTTTCAAACCTTTAGAAACATTTCTTCTGTGAAGTTCACGCAAATTGTAAATTTATTTTCATGGCTTCTTGTTCGTTCTAGGACACACCGTCCACCTAGACTCAGTACTAACTCGTACCATAAATGTAACCATATACAGGCATGGGCGCCCGCAAGTAGGGCAAGGTGGGGCACTTGCCCCCCCCCCCTGGATTGATTGGATAAAACATTTTTAGACAAAAATAGACACAAAATGTATTAAAGTAAAGAGAAAATAAAGAGAAAGTAACTATGCTGATGTCCTGTCCGTTCGTTCACCATACAAATACGCTACAGTAAATTAAAACTACATTAAAACATTACTAAAAGTTTTTTGCCCCCCCCTCCCCGAAAGTTAATCGATTTTTTGCCCCCCCCCCCAGAAAGTTTTCTGCGGGCGTCCATGGATACAGGAGTCAATACGACGGATCATATGCTCAGCCAAATTACACAACATAACGTAACGTTTTAGGTCAAGACAAAAAGAATTAGTAGATGTCTTAATATCTAAATTTCCATTGACTCAATGGTCAGCCGGTGAAAGTGTCCACTTGTGATAATCTCACGTCAGACAGGTGTGCTGGTGTCGGCCGTGGCGTTTTGTCGCCTGTTCGGGGCGTACGTCTGGACGGTCATCGGGAACGTGTTAATGAAAAGACCTGGGATGACCACCAACAAGAACAGAAAGATCATCTTCACAGCAGGTGAATGAACTGATGTTTTAAAACCAGTTTTTGACAGTTGGGGAGCCTGCTTGAAGTTTCAAGACGTTTTATAGGGGGGGTGGGTCAAACGGTTACCTGGTACGTCAGGGCGTGACTTCGGGGGTTCAGAACATGACTTGTGTCATCAGAACATGACTCGTGCCATCAAAACATGACTTGTGTCATCATGAATTGACTTGGGGAGGCAGGAAGTGAAATTTGGAGCAAACAAGTGACTTGTGTCCTCTTGGGTCGACAGGATTTGACTACGAGTCAGCGCGAGAATTAGGGCGTGAGAATGTAACAGTTGAAGGTGCCTTTAAGAGTCAGGGCGTTACTTCGGGCGCAAAGAGAGTTTCAGGAGGACATTTAGTGAATTTATTAAGGGTTTTTTAATCCATAAATTTCCTATGCACGTTATTTAACAAATAATTCTACTGAGTTACTCAGACCAAATGTCGAAATGCAATTTTTAGGCGACCGAAGATGAAGATAGAGTTCTGTTTTATTGTAAATAATTGCAACAGTTATGTTATCTCGTCTTTACCACACACAAAAAAAAAGAGAAGTTTTGAGATGATTTATGACATTATTTTGAACTGACATGAATTTTTAACCCCAATAGGGTCCGTCGTATCGGGGATATTTCTAGTGGCCGTGGCCTTCATAGACTCGGACCTCAGGTGGTTGGCCGCGGCCCTGATGTTTGTCGTGATGTTGTCCCAGTCCGTGTACGCCGTGTTGATGCCGGTATTAGCTCTGGACATGGCGCCCAGGTAAAAAAAATCAACACCTGATGCAATGGTGATTGATCAAATGATATTTAAATCACGCCCTAGCCTTTTCCCTACCCTCCCCTCTCACAAAACCAAATCTTCTTTATCCCCTCCCCTCCCCCCCCCCATCCCCACGCCCTTAATTCTGACTTTGACATCCATTTAGATTTTACTTGTTACCTCCTCGCTCCCTCACATTGTTTTGCACTCGGCACCCTCCCTTAAAGATAAATGCCCTTCCATCCACCAATTCCCCACCAATCTCTTACCCTCACACCACTCATCCCACACTCCCCCCACTCGGCTTTTAAAAAGTATCCCAAAGTCCGAACACGTTCCTCTTGACCTCTACTCACCTCCTTGTTGCACTCTCCCATGCACTGTCCCGTTGTATTTATGACTATCCACTTTTGCATAATTTGATGATTACATACGATACCAAATGGAACCTTTAATACCCCTTTAGTTAGACTACGTTAATCGTAAATATACACAGCTTCTGTACTAATATTTTTTTTTTTTAAATTGTTTTTTAAAAATAAAAAAAAATATATATATATTTTTTTTTATTCTGAGCTAAACCATTAATTCCAAAGATAACTTAAAGAGTTCTCGCTCGTCTGCTTGCCTGTCAGGTACGCGGGATTCATCTCCGGCGTCACCTTGTCTATAGCGTATGTTGTGGCCATACCCGGCCCCCTGATGGTCGCTGCATTGACGCCAACGGTAATTGATAAAGATTAGTTTGAGCATTTTTACCCTAACTCTAAAAAAAATGATATACTATTTTCGTTTTCTTAAAAATCATAATATCCGTTTGCTAATCTCTCAGAATCGTAAAACAAACAAACAAAAAAACAACAACAACATATCTCTGAATCGTGAAGGACTAAAGAGCTGAAATGGTAGGACAGTGTACAGCAGAGTTTTGTTTAAAAATGTGTTGTAAATCCTTGATTTACTTATTCCCCTTTAGTTGTACTTAAATTTGCAAGTAAGATAAAACAAGATGTAAGGGCATTAAAGTTATTTACAGTATTTCTTTCAGGCATTGATGGGGGGTGGGGTGGGAGTGGGGGAGTGCCCCTGAGGCAAGTCACGGAGAAGTTTACAGCAATAAAACGAACATATGTTAACTTTAAAAAAAAAAAAAAACAAGACAAAATCTTAATTTGTATAAAATTTAAAAAAAAAAAAATGGGGGGGGGGGTGGGGGGGGGGGGGTGACCCTGGAGGAAGTCACGGAGAAGTTTACAGCAATAAAACGAACATATGTTAAATTTAAAAAAAAAAAAAAACACGACTAAATCGTAATTTGTATAACATTTAAAAAAAAAAGAAGATAATTATTGCCTTGAACCGATTACAAACAGTGGACACAATGAAATATCGATACTTTGGTTATATTTGATGATCCGTAAATGTCAGGCTAATTTTGTTGGAGGCTTACGCTGTTCGATTATAAACATCTTACTGTGCCGAAAATTGGCCGCTTCTGGCTATTATAAGCAAACACCTCACTGTTGTGGACTTATTTCGTTATATATATTTATAAATATGTTCAACTTCACACGTTTAAAGACTTTATAAACATGGTGTTACAACAACGTTTACATCAATATAAAGTTCTATAATTTTATTATGGTTCTTGCATTTCTAAAACATATCATCTTTTTTTTTTAAATTGTTGAAGTAATTTATGATAATGAGCTCAGCGCTGGCCTTTTGAACTGACCACTGTTATTTGTCTTCTTTGTCAGAACGCGACCACAGAATGGGCAACAGTTTGGCTCATCATGGCGGCAGCGATGTTTGCCACTCTCGTCATATTTCTGGTGTTCGGCCAGGCCTCCCCTCTACCATGGGCTGACGCCGATGTTCCGTGTGGTCCAGCTGCGGGAACGCAAAACGACCGCATCATGAGGAGCGACTCTCCTGACACTGACTGACACTGATTGACACTGACTGACACTGACTGACACTGATTGACACTGACTGACACTGACTGACACTGATTGACACTGACTGACACTGACTGACGCGGGCGATGACCACAAGGCTGCTTTTTTTTAAAATTAAATTAGCCACCTTGTGTCCCATGTCCAGTCTCCTGATCATATCTCTAGACCTAGTTGACCGGACAGACTACGCAAAATAAATTTGCGTTACCCGTAGAAGGAGTCAGTAACCCAATTTGTTCAGCCTATTTCTTTCCTTAATCATGGGTTACCGGCCTTGGTAGCAAATGCTTCAGAAAATGTATCAAATCATGAATTTATTGAATGTTTCTATTGAGACGAAGTCGACCACGTGATATAAACAGTGCTGTCTTGGAGGTTGTACGGCGTAAAAGGTATATTTTGTTTCGTAAGAAGGCGTGCACCATATACTTTTTAATGATGATCATTATATAATACTTTAGCTTTTAAGCATTTATAGATTCATGACTGATAGATTCATGACTGATAGATGACTGATAGATTCATGACTGATAGATGCATCACTGATAGATTCATGACTGATAGACTTATCACTGATGGACTCATCACTGATAGATTCATAACTGATAGATTCATCTCTGATCGATTCATCACTGAGAGATTCACCACTGATACACTCATCACTTTATGACAGTCTTCATTAATCAGCCGAGTCCGCGTGGACGATGTTCATTTATATTTAGCAGGAAAGAAAACCCACTTTGATGTCAGGTTGTAATCGATTATTATTGATTATGGAACACGATTGTTAATTCCAATGAACTTGTCGATTGTTGGTTATTTATTGGAACTGAATACGTGTGAAATTGTATTTTTTTATTTAAATAATATGCGCTATGACATACGATCAAATCGGGACGAAGGCATTTTTGATGACTGGGGAAAACTTATTTGTTGAACTCTAATGTTAAATAACTGGACCAATGTGCTATTTTTAAAAGGTGATTTCAATTTGAATAGATAAACATGTGTGACATTGGTTAATCTTGTCAACTGAAACAAATAAAACAAGAAACAGAAATAAAAATATACATATAAATATATATATATATATATATATATATATATATATATATATATAAATGTCGTTTACTTTCGTCTTCTCACAGACTTCCCACCTTCCCCCCACCCCCAAAAAAACACCTTAATCTTTATAAACATGTGTGACAGTGGTTAATCTTGTCAACTGAAACAAATAAAACAAGAAAAAGAAATAAAAATATACATATAAATATATATATATATATATATATATATATATATATATATATAAATGTCGTTTACTTTCGTCTTCTCACAGACTTCCCACCTTCCCCCCACCCCCAAAAAAACACCTTAATCTTACATTGAAGAGTTACATTGATGACGTCAGTTACATCACTACCATGGATACAAACTTAACTCGAACGATTTGTTGAGTTTTTAAACTCATTCCATCCATCTATGGAAAACAACTTCACATATCTCCGAGAACTCTTGTCAACTCTGCGTCCCATTACCGGAATTTTTTTTGGACCTCACGGAACATCTTCCTGTATTCGGACAACCACGCACCCTCCCCCCCCCCCCCCCCCCCCCACCCCGGTGGTTCCCCCAGGTGGGGGGGNATCCTTGGTTCACAGCTAGATTTCCATTTTAAAAAAAAAATTGGTGGGTGAATCTAGATGACGTTTACAGACAGGGAGGGACAGCTAAGCCAGCAATAATGACGCATTGGGCGGGGGGCGTAGTCAGTAATGCACGATACACCACGTTATCGTGAGAAGGGGGGGGGGGGAAGCGCTTTCTGAAGTTATTATTTTTTTAAATCATCTTTTGTCATCTTAAGCTGTAAGGCGTCTCGTAAACGTGCACTAGGTGATAACCAGCAAGGTGTGAACTGTTGGTTGAAGAACTGTTCATCTACAGATACTGGTAAAAAAAACAAAAAAACAACAACAACAAAAACTAACAACAAAGTAGATTCATGGTGGAAAAAGTTGCATTTTAAATGAAAACCAGGACCGTGAAGGCAGTCAGTTATGCGAATTGTGTGTTTTCAATTTCTTCCAACGCCTTAACTAAGACATTGCAAGGAATGATCAGAATAATATAGACATTTTGCTGCGTTCTCATCAACTTAGAGAACCAACCTCGACAAGAGAGAAGATTTGTTTTATGAGTTTTAGTGACGAATTCCTCCTCTCTGCATTCACATCTTTTGTTCTAGTGGGTTTTTTTTTTTCGTTTCTTCCAATTTCGACACCAACAATCACAATGCTTACTGGGAAGTTGAGCCTCGTTTCACAACTTTGCAGCCTTGAACTTCGTGAAACACTACCTGGGCTCAACTCTGATTTTAGCTGATTATTAAATATTAGTAAACAGTTTTGGTTGCAGCCTCCGGGCAATTTTGAAATTCATCATTTGATACAAATCTCTTTGGCCTTCATAATTAGTCATGCGAACAGCATGTAGGTCTTGCATAATGTAACAGAACACGGAAATTGGCCTGAAGTCCGACTACCCAGTTTCCTTAGACTTGGCAGACATGTTATTATTTCAAAGTTTTCATAAGGCCACCACTTTGGTCAAGCGTGCGAACAAAAAAATTCATCTAGAGTGGAGACTAAAAAGCTTTCAACAATTTTATTGGCAAAAGATCGAACAATGTTAGTTGGGCAACATATTCAAGAACTTTAATTTGGGAAACAGTTCTAAGACTGAGTTGGGCAGCAGATCGAACACTGTGAGTTGGGCAGCAGATCGAACACTGTGAGTTGGGCAGCAGATCGAACACTGTGAGTTGGGCAAGAAATCGAACACTGTGAGTTGGGCAACAGATCAAACAATGTGAGTTGGGCAACAGATTGAACACAACGAGTTGGGCAATAGATCGAACACAGTGAGTTGGGCAACAGATCGAACACTGTGAGTTGGGCAACAGATCGAACACAATGAGTTGGGCAACAGATCAAACACTGTGAGTTGGACAACAGATCGAACACAGTGAGTTGGGTAACAGATCGAACACTGTGATTTGGGCCTTAGATTCAAACAGTACTAACGATAAAAAAAACTTTGATGTCTATTTCCGATCAACCCCCTCAACCCCCTCAACCCCATCAAGCCCCTCAACCCCCTCAACCCCCCCTTAAGCCCCTAAACCCCCTCAACCCCCCTCAACCCCCTCAACTGACACATAACTACATTTCCCAGGAAGGACCACCCCGTGCCCCCCCACCATATTACATAGCAGGACATTCAGTGTGTGTGAACTTCACATATGAGGAACACATGTTCTCTAGGATCTTCACTTCAAATAACCACTGGGCCTGCAAGCGGAGGTTGAGCTACGCCCCTGCTCCATGTCTCGCGCAGGTACACCCTCTCGGGCTCTAATATTAAAACGCTGTTAGCCATTCAGCCATACCATTGCGAAATTAGCCCGTTGGGTTTTATTTTGACTGTAACAAACATCTCTCAAACAGCTGAATTGGTCGAGTATTTCATTTTCCGTACAATACACGCCCTTCGAAATCCGTTCTGTGTGTAAAAATACATTAAACCCATGAACAACGCAGATAATTCTTAACCATTCCCAGATTTAAAAAAAAAAAATTTATGTTATCCTTTTTTTGAGAGGGCTCTCTAGCGAAATTAAAAGCACTGGCTGCGGTGACTTATGGAGAATCAGCGGTATCCCAAGCACCAGATCCCCTCTCTTCATGCAGTTAGTAGACCCAGGGTAACTTCACCCGGTGGATACTTCCTGGGCAGCATTAGCATCGCAAGAGTTTTTCGAACCACGATGAGTTCAATCAGTCTTCCTAGACTCAATCTCAGGAATTCTTTTGATATATATATATATATGCACCACTACAGAGCATTTCCAGCTACCTTCACCTGCCAGACATGGCTTGTTTGTTTGTGAACCGTGTCGAATGACATCTCAACGTGCATTTTTAATCAGGTTGACCTGCGAATTTATGTAACATGGTCTTAAGGTAAGGAAAAAAAAACAAGGTGTTACACATGTTTCACCTGTACATGTGTACACTCATATACACTTTCGTACACCCAGAAAGTTGGAGTTACCTCGTTTTCGGGTACAGCTCCACTTAACAAAGGTAAATAGTTTGAAGAATGTTCTCAGTATAAAAATTGATTTTAAGCTGATTAACTCGTAAAAACTTGTTCGGCAGTTCTGTTGTTTTCGGTGTACCACTTAATGTTAAACGCGCGTTATAAATAGTGTCGCTTTCACAGGGGGCTGTAGGACACATACAAGATGTGTGTGTGTGTGTGTGTGTGTTGCCCAACACGATTGTGCACCAGTAAACCAGGTCTAAGTCCCCTACAGTGCAGCTCGATGCACTTATGTTGTTCATTTGACACGGTGCAAGCGTTCATTTATATCCCCCAGGACTCCAAGTCCCTGCCTGACTCGTGAAATTATCTCACCTAGGGGGGACTTTGCTGCTCCCAACATAAGCACCAAACCTAGACTACACGTTAGCCAGGTTTTAAACATGTAAAATCTTTGGTTTTACAATGGTAATGAAACGTATCCCTTTTTTAAATGGGTAAAAAATAACCAAACAAACCACACCAAAAAAAAAAAAAAAAGGGCGCTCGCGAGAATAGTGTTACTTAATCCGCTCAACCGTAAATGTCCAGGTCTCTTGTGCTCCTTTTATGTGTACGGTAGTCGTTTTTAAACATGTAAAATCTTTGGTTTTAAAATGGTAATGAAACGTATCCCTTTTTTAAATGGGTAAAAAAAAACCAAACAAACCACACCAAAAAAAAAAAAAAAAGGGCGCTCGCGAGAATAGTGTTACTTAATCCGCTCAACCGTAAATGTCCAGGTCTCTTGTGCTCCTTTTATGTGTACGGTAGTCGATTATTTCCCTTTTATCGGTCATCCGATCGGAGCACGAAACCTGATAGTGAGTTGCTGTTTTTTCGTTGGTTTTTTTGTGTGATACATCTGGAGTCATCAATAAATTTATATTATTAATCGTCTAACTTAAAGGACTGTATCGACATGGGAACATCATACTGCACCAGCCCTCCCCCTCTGTGCCCCACAATGAAACTGACATTGATTAGATTACTCAAGTCGTGTTTTGTACCAACCAGTGAATGCATTACCACACACAACAAAAGCAGTGTTCGGGGTGGGGGTGGGGGGAACACACACACACACGTACGTTTTATGGCCTCAATAATCAATCCTTTAAAGGTCGGATCGCGTATAGCTATAGGCGTACACAGAAGCGCTCTCGCGAAGACACAGGCATTACACACCATGCACACGATATGTCGAACACACAGGCATTACACACCATGCACACGATATGTCGAACACACAGGCATTACACACCATGCACACGATATGTCGAACACACAGGCATTACACACCATGCACACGATATGTCGAACACACAGGCATAACACACCATGCACACGATATGTCGAAGACACAGACATTACACACCATGCATACGACATGTCGAAGACACAGACATTACACACCATGCACACGACATGTCGAACACACAATGACTCACACTTAAAATCCAACCCTTCTCCCCCCCCCCCCCAAAAAAAAAAAAAAAAAAATCCCTGCCAAAAAAAAAAAAAAAAAAAAAAAAAAGAAAAAAAAAAAAAATAAAACCCACCCCCCCCCCCCCCCCCCCCCAAAAAAAAAAAAAAAAAAATCACGCGCACAAAACAACGTAAAGATATGAAAT